CCAATTCTCGACAAATTAGCGCTGTTCGCCATCTAAGATGGACTTTGGATTGACTTACATCAGTGTAGATGTGGTCACCTACATACAAAATCTCATCTCCATGTATGTTAAGGGAATTCTCAACCATCTGAGCACTTCCTCCTGAGTACAAACCTCCTGCATAATAAAAAGAGATGCTAAGGCCTGAGTTTAGTTGTGGAAAACTATTCTGAAAAGAAACATGACATATTTTCTTTATTATTTCCAAAATTTTAAAAAATAATACTGAAAATATAGCATGAGTTTGAAAAGAATAAAAGCTGTCCTGAAACTCGTGCTATATTTTTACCATGTTCTCCAAACCTTATTTTCATTTTTCAATAAATTAGTCAATTAATTTAGAGAACAAAAACTTAAAATAGTTTCTAATAACTAAACAGACACTAAAACTTTAATTCTATTTGCCCTAAAATTAATTTCTAGAGCGTAGCGTACAGCTAAACAAGCTGAAGGACAAGCATACATCATGCGTCTGAACCTTGAAGCATGGAGTTTCTCTGAACTAAAACTCAAAATTGTTGATCATAACTAAATGGACCCTAACTTTGATTTTATATACCATGAAACTAGTTTCTATCGTGCAGCTTACAGCTAAACAAGCACAAAGACAAGCATACATCACCTGTCTGAGCCTTGAAGCAAGGAAGCATCAACCCCTCACCGGTCACTACCTCATATAGTGGATGTGACATTTGAAAGAACTCCGGCTTCCTTGCAGACACTATAACCTACATTTCATGGATAAAAAGAAAAGACATCACAAAAACATCAAGATCTCCATCAATTTCCATGCAATTTTGGCAATTTGCATTAAGTACAACAATTAGAAAATTAATTGGAAAAATATATCTGCAAAATACGACATAGTAATACAATACAAATTTACTCACAATGTCAAACAGATCTCGCCAACTCATATCATTGGGGAGGAATCTATTGAAGGAATGCTGCATCATTTTGTCCGTGTAATGGTAATCTGAGTTTGTAATAAGCAGCAATTTTTTACCAGCCTGATCCATGGAAATGACCAGGTAAATGAAAAATCTATAACAAATTTAAGTTTACAACAGCATACAATTTCAAAGCAATACCTCCTTTTGATCCAAAAGTGCTAAAGGTAGTTCTGGATCAGGCTCCACAAATAGCTCAGGCTTTGACATTATCTCACTCTGTATGATGCCACCCATCAGTTGGTGTCTTAAGAACATGAGCTTAAACACTATAAATAAACTTCCAGGGGCATATTAACCTTAAGCTGTCCTTCTACATGTGCTCTGAAGAGAGCTTTTCCAACAGCCTGAATATCAAATAGAAGAATTAACAGAGAATCACATATTTGAACTGGCGGACCTCTTAAAATCTCTGAGATACATTACCTTATAAAGTCCTTTGTAATCAAGTGGACCAAGATCTGCTGAGATAGCTCCTTCATCCAGTCTGTCAACCATCTGAAAAGGTTTCATGTTCCATTAAAAAAGAATGATCTGCCCAGCATGCTCATGGATAAGATGATTCATAAAGAAAATAGTGCCAGAAAATCTGTGCACAGTAGTCTTCCATTCACAGGCAATACAGTTTATTTAAAAATGTGATGTGAGCCTGGGTTGTGCATCATAAGGACTAGACGCTAAGCGTAACAGAATATCTTCCTGACTAAATCATAGACATTCATTAATTTAAGAAGAAGAGAAATGAGTGAGATACAAGTTGCAGCTCAAGTTAACAAATGCTAGCACAAGACACCTCACCAGAAAGGAAGAAAGACCAAGAAACATAGTCTAAATCATTTGATGATAAACAAAAAGAAAAAACCAAGACAGATTGATTTTTTAGTTAATAGGAGTGACATTTTCAAATATTGCTATGGAGTACAAAAAGAAATTACCTGCATGTAAGCCACAGCTTCTGAAACAGAAAATAGTGTGTTCAGGAACACCCATCGACTCTCGTTTCGCAGGTCCACAAGTTCCCTCCCATACATTTCACTTCAATGCATAAAAAATTACGAACCACTATAGAAAATAATAAAATAATTTTGCCTCAAATGACACACATGTCTAGAAAACTGTAGGCAACATGTTTAGCAAGATTTCAGCAGAAGTGTATGAGCGTGTCTCTATGCGTACGAGTGGAATTCATATGCAGAAGTGTGAGTATGTGTTTGTGTCTGCATGGAAGCACAAAGCTAAATTATCAGATAATGATGATGAAATATTTTACTCAACTAAGGTACCTAGAAGGACCATTTCATTAATTTCTTTTGGAGAGGGATAATGAGAAAAAGTAATTTTTTTCTATTATTTGCATTTCAATAATTAGTAAACATTTTGAGCGACTGGCATCCCCATGTCAGATGATGCTAACTTCCATGTTTTCTGGAGATTATTAATAACCAAAATCATAAGTTCCGAATCATACCTGACAGCTCGAGTTGATAGCATTTTTGTCCCATGCATGGCTCTCTTCACATAACCAAATCTATCAGCCTTAACCAGGTTACCGTTTTCTTTGTCAATGACAAGACCTCTAATGACCTAATACATAAAGGCGGACAATTTGTGAAGCACATAAGAAATTAGAGGCATCATGAACTCCATAAATGCTAAAACAATAGAAACTCCTTACCAAGTCTGGGTCAAATGCAACCCCGTCAACTGGAAAACCCATGTTCTGTAGATTGTCCATGCAGTAATCATATGCTCTTCCTTCCCAAGCCTGGAAGAGTACAACACAGTCTTACAATTCAAACAGTCCAACCAGAGAGGCAAAAGTATTTCAAACCAATTCAAGTAAACAATTTGAACTGATAGAGGACAGTATTGCACAATACACAGCAAATCCAAATCAAAGAAAATAGCCAACATAACAGTGAAACCAGGTTCTTAGGGATTTAAAACAATAAACTTGTTAGAAAAATCTAGAGCCACTGATCAAGGCATTAGGTACTCTATTCATTATCAAATCTTTCAGTTTCTGATATGAGAAGAAAGAAAAGAGATATTCACCATAACATTATAATGAATCAAGGTGTAGTCCATGTCATATCCGATGGCACTAATTGACCGGAGGTTCAGTGTTCGGCTACAAAATATGCCACGGGGAGAATATCTTGCAGCAGGACTCTGTACATTAACAGCATAAATGAATTAGGCATATCCAAGCATTAATGATGTGACATAAGGAGGAGCAGAGGTATGCTGAGCAAAGAAAAATAAACAATATTTTTTTCAAATTCCATAACGAACTAAAACATGTTAATTGGTGGAGTACATCAGCAGGCATCAGAATATCAAAGCTGCTGACTTGCTACCACCCCACAGACAGTAGTAAGTGTAGTGTTAGTTTGTGAAGAGACAGATTAATGCATGATAAAATGAAGAGAAAAGGGATTAGATTCACCAACAGGGATACCCAGGTCTCGAAGCAAATCCTCAGCTTCTTGAGCCTCCGTCCTGGCAACCTCCTCAATTGGACCTTCTAAAGTTGCGTGGCCATCAATTCCTTCACGGGGATACCATGTAATTAAAGACCAGCAAAAGTTAATTCGCAACAAATATTAGCGGAAGCGAGTCAAGAAAATGAATGTAAAACAGAAGGGCAAAGGTTGGGCGGTCAAATTGTATGATAAAAGATGTTGGCTGCCAAAAGATTGTTCAGGCATACTAAGATATAAAGATAAAAGAGTTGAGAAGTGAAACGTCGATACAAGACATAAAACTTTAATGGCACTGGTTTGGAGATCAACTGAAAGCCGCAGCAGCATCGACAGAACAAGTCCAATTCCACGGGAAAAGAAAAGAAACAAGGAGTAGAGTAAAGGAAGAACAAGGTACATAGCGGAAAGTCAAGAGAGGGAAGAAAAGCGGAGGAGATACCAAAAGTCAGAAGAGGATCTAGCTTGAGGTTCAGATCGCCTTTGGTGCTTTCCCCTAGATAATCTACGTCACATTTGCTTGATGATGTCACGGAAAACACATCATCGGCTAGGGGAACGGTGTCGGTACTGCTGGCGTCGCCGCTGCAAACGCACTTAATCGAGAAAGCTCTCTTGAGTTGATAGATTGATCTTCCTTTGAAAGCAGCAGCAGCAGCAGCAGTAGCAGGGTTACAAAGATTGGCGGCAGCGATGGCCTCCCCGAACAAAGGTACGTTTCCCAAAACCTCCAGCGCGAACATGTCGCTTTTTTTTTTTTTTTTGCAGGGGGAGGGGGGTGGTTTTACTATGTGACGGGATCGACAGAACCCCCATGTACTGAACTTTGAACTTATTACGTATCCATCTTATTTTTTATTATTACTTTCTATAACCATCATATTAATTTTTATTATGACATAAATAATACAAGTCTTATCCGCTTAATTTTATCTCTTATTACGATGAAACGACACCGTATCACAAGACTTCCTCATCTGCGCAACCAACAGATGAGTGTTAATGTGAAGCTTTGATAGATTGATTTACAGAAAAAATTTGTAACGATGAGTAAATAAAAAAATGGAAAGGAACTAGGTGGGAAATCACAATCAGACCAACAAACGCAAGTTCGATGGGAAATTGCAACAAACTCCTATCCTGTGTCCTGTTTCTTCTATATTTGGATTGAAGGGATGCATATGCAGCTATGTCTTCAAAGGTTAGAAATCCAGTCACTGGTTATCTCATCAAGGCATGCGTACCCGAAGATTAGAGAGATAGGTAAGAGTATTGCCTTTTCAGTTCATTCTTATGTGTATCAACTCCAAGTGAATGTGCTTTTTGGACCCTGTAACTTTTTTTTTTTTTTTACAAATTCTCATTCTCAGTGTCTAAACTTTTTGCATTGGGCTTAAAATTCTTCGATCTGTTCTTTGTATTTATTATTAAAATTATGTATGAGGTGTTGGGAAGAAGAAGGAATGTAATAATAAATAAATGAAAAGGTGAGGAAATGATTAAGGTGTAAGCTTAAAGATAATAATAATACACCACCCTTGATTAAGAATTGTCATTCCCACTTGCCTACCAAGCACTAATATTGCATTACATTGGCATTTGGCATTAAAAATTGTGATTGTGTTTGTGTTTGTGTGCATCATGTTCGTGGAAAGGACTCATCCTATGATTGGGTGCCGCACCACCACCTAATTCTTGTCACAAACAAACAACATTTATCCTACAAAAACATCCCGATAAAACAAATTTTTCATCCTCATTTATACGGTTCCATCACATTTTAATGACCTCATAAATTCACATTAATGGCATGTGATGGTGATGATACAGTAACTCCACTTTTTCTGTTTTATTCTCCTCCTTGCTAGACCCTGATCCTGATATGATATCAATACCCCAAGAAGAGGAACAAGAAGAACAGACCGAAGCTCCTACTTCTGGCTCCATTCCCCATACGCCACCTCTTCCTTTCCCTTCATCTTCTTCTCTCCCCAACTGTGTCTCTTCTCTCACACCAAAACCCATCTCCTCGCCTACTACCATGTCGCATACCACTTCTAAGCCCAGACACCCCCCGAAACCAAAACCTGCTTCCTCTTCTAGGCTACCCACAAGACCCAGGACAAACCCACCTGGACAAGACCCTCAAAAATCTACCAACTTTTCTCACCCCACTCCCAGGAAGAACCACCAATCCCACCAGGAAAAGCTACAATTTAGTGAGGTTCTTGTTAAGGATTTGCAATCTCAGTTGCTCGCTTTGAAGGCAGACTTGGATAAAGCTCAAACGTTAAATGCACAACTCCAGTCGCAGAATAACAAACTCTCTCAGGATCTTGCCGCAGCTGAAGCTAAAATTGCAGCTCTTACCGCTTCTCACAAGGTCAACCAATGAATTCATTGCCTTTCTTCTTCTTTTATTTTCATCTTCTTTTCCTTTATCTACCAACACTTCAATTACCCGTCAAATTTTTAACTTGGTTGTATTTTTTTTCTTGTCTATGGTTTTCTCCATGATTCTTATCTTCTCTTCTCTTTCCAATGAAGGAGGAGGCAGTTGCAGAGTACCAGAGCCCTAACTTCAAGGACATTCAAAAACTAATTGCCACCAAACTGGTATCTGCAATGGGTAGAAAGGTGACAAACCGTGAGCCAAAAATTGCTAAGACTCCATCACCATGTCCAATTCCCCAACTTGCCAAGGCAGAAAGAAGGGCTCTACCATGCCCCTCTTTGCCACCACTACCTCCAGCACCGCCACCCCCACCCCCAATTCGATTTCCAGCCAGAACACCTCCGACACAAAAGGTTTCTCCGCTTGAACATCTTCATGGCATTTCGATTAAGCAACAAGTAAATAGAGATCCTCCACTAACTGGGAGTCAAAATAAACCAACAGTTATCAGTGCCCATAGTAGCATAGTTGGAGAAATTCAAAATCGTTCAGCACATCTCCTAGCAGTGAGCATCTAAGATCTAATTCATGTTTTTCTGTTGACTCCACTTTCAATTGAAGTTTGAGCTGTTGCTGACTGACAATTGCTTTCTAGATAAGAGCAGACATTGAAACAAAGGGAGAGTTCATAAATGGCCTTATCCAGAAAGTATTGGCCGCAGCTTATAATGATATAGAAGATGTCCTAAAATTTGTCGACTGGCTTGATATTGAACTTGCATGTCTGGTAATTCTTTCTGCTTTCGTAATGTTCATATTGGATATTCCTGAAAAGATGTTATAACTGTTCAAATGGCATGTTAGAGTAGGACACATTATGCTTTCGTAATCCTGTGGCTGTACCAAGTCCTGAAAACCATAAGAAGGTAATTTCTCCATCTGTTGGATAGTTACTGGCCACAGGTGGTGGCTTATCTTAGTCCATTGTCTTCCTCAAGTTGATAAATTTCACGCCGCCTTCCCTCCCAGTAGCTGCTTTTCTATTATATCTCAATAATAAAGTGTGAATAAATGGGTGATTGCTTCTTTGGAGTTGTGTGTCGTCTAAATGGGTGGACCATCATCCTACACGAAATATAACATCTTATAAGTTTCACCGGAGGTTGTTTGATGTTTTCTCAGTTGTTTATAATTAAGGATAGATAAGGTTGCCCGGACCATTTCACTCTAGCCCCTAGGGAAAAAATGCTCCCTTATGCAGCTGGAAAATTGGGGTTCAATATCCCATTGCGTGTCTATTGGTGATGCAGGTTGGAGAAATTGGCATTATTATATGAAATTTTTTATCACTAGTGTTTGTTTCAGGCTGATGAGCGGGCTGTGTTAAAGCATTTCAAGTGGCCTGAGAGGAAAGCCGATGCTTTGCGGGAAGCTGCCGTTGAGTATCGTGAACTTAAAATGTTAGAAATGAAGATTTATTCTTATAATGATGATCCAAATATTCCATGTGAATCTACCTTGAAGAAGATGGCTAGCTCACTAGACCAGTAAGGTTTCCTTTACTAGATTCAAGTTACCATGAAAAATTTATTTTATCCGGTCAGGTATTGACTTACGCTTCCTTCTTATCATGATTCCAGGTCTGAAAGGAGCACACAGAGACTAATAAAACTGAGAAGCTCAGTCGTGCGCTTTTATGAGGATTATAAGATCCCCACTGATTGGATGCTTGATTCAGGAATAATGAGTAAGGTGTGACAGTTGAACGAATCAGTTTAAACTTGGAAGGATGGTTTTAAATTTTGATCTAAAGTGCAAGACTTTAATTGATCATTGTAGATGAATAGTAATGTGTGTGCAAGACTTTTAATTGATTGACCATTCTTGTGCGCAGATTAAGCAGGCTTGGGTAAAATTGGCCAAGACCTATATGAAGAGAGTGAGGGTGGAGCTTGAAGTGGCAAGGAATTTAGACAGGGAATCCACCCAGGAAGCTCTACTGCTTCAGGTTGTGCATTTTGCCTATAGAGCTCACCAGGTAACAGCTTAGTTTCCTGATAAATTTACCAGCTATATATGGGAATGGAGAAGCCATTAACACACAAGCCTTGATTTTTTTACACAATCCCTCATGTGTTGTTGAAATTCTACCGTGGGAATCTCTATTTCTACGTTTCAAGTTATTGGGTCTTGTGGAATTTATAGTTGGTTGCGGGGTAGAAGGTCTGACCTTTACTGCGGTAATTTGTGGGGGGTAAGAACATTCGTCAGGATCAATGAAATTTATGATGCTGTGTATTTGCAGTTTGGTGGAGGTCTTGACTCCAAAACACTGTGCTGTTTTGAAGAGATTAAGCAGCACGTTGCAGGACATTCCAGAAGATCCCAGGAGCTGGTTGCTGGAATACCGTCATCATGAGATATGACTTGTAAAATCGATAACACCTAGATTAGATTCACGAAAAGGATTAGCGTTGGATATTGTTTTTTTTTTTGTTGTTGTTTTTTTTTTCTGAAAAAGAGAAAACTTTCATTGTTGTAGTAGATTGTATAAAAACCTCAACTTTTTCCTCTTCAAGGAAACCTCAGTTAGAAATCTTGAGAGATATTTGTGGAGGAGTCCTACATATGTGTATATATATATATATATATATATATATGCAAATAAAAGAGCAATGAATCAGAAATGCAACTAGTAAGGTTGAAGGTAAGGTTCCTTTTGGTTGGTGCAGAGTAGGAGTAGGAGTAGGAGGAGAATGCAGATCAGATTGTTTTGCAGTGAAGTATGGGGTTTGAAAGTCATTATCAATGGCTGGTAGACTAATTCAAATGGGGGGGTATCTACTTTTTCTCACTTGACTTTTGGTACTGGTTTAGGAATCTTCTCTTTCCTTGAAAAGAGGATATTCGTTCAATTCAATGGGATTTTCCTATTTTTATAAAAATATTCTCAGATTAATCTTTAATATATATATATATATATATGTACGTCAGTTGGATGTCATTCTCACTACATCAAGAAGTAAAACTAATTATTTCCCACAATTAATTTAATTAAATGAATATTATCGACCAAAAATATTTTAACAATTTGAAGCCAATTGTGTATTTAATAATAATATGAGTATTTTAGTGGCAGTCTCTCATTATATAAATTATTCAAAATAATTACTTAAAAAATAAATGTTTAGATTTAATAGACAGAATTAACGCACCAACTGATCTTAGTATTGCTTGCAAGGCGTCCCACGTGGATCAAGCTGGCATAATTTGGACCATCAAACTCATTCGACGGCAGATATCGGACGCAGACGCATGTCAGCGCCACGCCGAACCGTGCCAAACTGAAAACCGTCACAAGGCGCCAGGTGAAGAGCGAGCGCTCCTCCACGTCAGCAGTAATCCAATCATAAGCTCCCACGTGTTCCCCCACCAATTGAAATTACCCCCACCCTCCTTCTCCCATTCCCTCTCCAACAAGGAAGGCATCCCGAAACAACTATAACTCCAGACTCTCTCTCTCGACTTTTAGTTTCATCAGAATCATGGAGGTCTCCCGCATCGTCTTGCACCAGGTTACCTGCTTCTCGGGCTCTGCAATTGATCGTCAATTTTCTTCCCTTCCTTCCGGAGCTCCATGTTCGGGGGAGCTCCGGGTGGCGCCTCGTCGAGTCACGGACTCAATTTCGGGTTTGAGTCGGGGGTTTACGGACAACGGGAATTTGCGGTATTACTATGCATCGCCCAGGTGCGGTGCCGGCAAGGAGAAGGCAGCTACCAAGAAGAAGTTGAAACTGCTCAAACGGTTGTCTAAGGACTTGCCTGTGTTGTCCGCCGCGCTCTTCGGCGCGGACCCTGAATCGGCTTTGAGTGGCCAGGTTAAAGACAAGATGATCGCGGTATGGATGGATTATTTTATCTCGTATGTGATTTGATATTTGCACTGTTGAAACCTGGATGTTGAAATCGCTTTGTTTTGAACTGGATGCAGGAAGCGTCAGAGGTATTGCTGAAACGACTTGAGGAGATGAGGGCAGAGGAGAAGCGGAAAAAGAAAGAAGAGAAGGCGAGGAGGAAGGGGATGCGGGAGTGCGAGTTGTCATCTGAATCAAGTGGGAGCGATTGTGGGGAGGTAGTTGAATTGAGGAGGGTGAGAGGGGAAGCGGGAATGGAGATGTCTGTGGAGAAAGAGGAAGAAGAAGAAGGAAGTGGAGATGGGGTTAGCAAGAGAATTGAGGTGTGCATGGGGAACAAGTGCAGGAAATCGGGAGGGGCAGCTTTGATGGAAGAATTTGAGAGGGTAATGGGCGTAGAAGGTGCTGTTGTCGGGTGCAAGTGTATGGGAAAGTGCAGGGATGGCCCCAACGTCAAGGTGGTGGAGGGTGGTGGAGGGAGGAATCCTCTGTGCATAGGTGTTGGGTTGGAGGATGTTGGGCTTATAGTTGCTAATTTACTCGGAGAAGATAGCCAGCGTTTTTGTTTGTCTCCAGCAACTTAGATATAAAATCAACTTCCATCTTCTTTTATTACCTTATAGCTTTTTCTTCTAGCCAAATGTACAAATTTTCTTATAAATATAAATATGGTAACAATAGTTAATTAATAATATTTTTTTAAATCTTATTTAGTGTCTCAAAAGTACTTTAATATTGTAAGTAATTATTCATCATATTTGACTTGCTTAAATGAATTTTAATGATTGGTGGGTAATTGAAATATAGTAATGTTACTATAATAAAATAAAATAAAATAATAATTTTTTTTTTTTATATTTAAATAAATTAATTAATTTTTTATATTTGATAAAATAAATAATTATTATTTATATTATTATATTAATTTAATTTTAATAAAAATAAAATTATTTATATAATAAAACAAAGAATTATAATTTTTTATTATTATATTAAATTTAAAATTATTTTAAAAAATTAAAATTAAAATATATTTAAAATAATAATTTATTAATGAAGAAAGGAGAAAAGAAATAAAAGTTTTTGTTTAAGAGGAAAATTAAGTATATCTTTTAAAATATAATAAGTTTGAATTCTTGAAATACCACCGATTCAGTAATTTTTAAAATTTATTTTAAATTTATCATTCAAATACCATCCGCGTACTCCTCCGTCAATAATTTGTCTAACTGACAAAGACAATATCACGAAACAAATTTTTAAAAAGGTCAAAAAAATTGATTCCTTCCTAGCGGTGAAAAGGGCACCTTGTGTCCAACATTTCTTTCCCCACTCAAAAGGGAATAACAAGAGCAAGCAAGACATTATGTACATTTTCTGTTGCTCTTAGAGCTAATGGACTACATACCAGTACAAGCCCTACCATCATACTATTCTTTGTTACTACTATTACATGTGCCTGGGGTACTTTGCTTTAGGCTCATCTTCAGTGTTATCAACCTTGTTGCACCGCTTCAAAAAAGAGTCCAATGTTTTCTGCTTTGCCAGGCAACTGCCTGACTGCCCACCTGAGATTTCCAGAATGTTCTCGTGCTGCCCATCAAGCATCTAATTTTCAAATAACAACAAAGTTCAGTTCAAATTTAAAAGTACTTTTCAAAATATATATAGACACATGCACACGAATTTGCAAATATATATTTATATATATAGAGAGAGAGAGAGAGAGAGAGAGAGAACCTGCCCCAAATTCTCCAGCTTGCTCTGAACCACATCCCTACATAAAATACAGTAATATCCTCACAGCTTTTTCCAACAATTAGATTTGTAGAATTAAGATTATTCATCCAAGCGCATTCAAAAAGCCAACATACCATATGATGTCATCAACGGTGTCATTTGCTAGCAGATAGTATACATTAACGGAAGAGGCCTAAAACATTAACCACATGTTAGCAAAATATGGAAGAGAATCTCGTATTCACACCATCAAACTGAATCCTATTAGAAATCACAATAACCTCAAGGTTGCATATCTGTGAGTCTCAACTCATTATTACAAAAAAGTCCAAGCCATATAAATGATTATGATGGAGAGGTACACAGAGTGCCATTTCACAATTTTATGGACCATCCTATCCCATTATGTAATGGAGAACTAATCGTATTGAAAGCCCAATGCTCTACCAACTGAGCTATACACCCAAAAAAAGATGTAGTAGTAAATAAGGATTGGTGCGGAAAAGAAAAGAGCGCGGCCCCTCTTCTTCTCATCATATTAAAGGGGCGCGGCTCTGTATGAGGCTCGTACTGCAGAGCAAGCGAAGAAAACATAAGGATGCACTTTAGCACTCCTGCAAGAAAACGGCCTAGCTAACGCGCCCCTTATTGGAAACTAAAGGAAAGATTTTCTCAATATGAGAAAGATGCACTCAAGCACCCAACCTATACAAAGGGCTTGGGCTCTAAAAGCCGGCCTTACTCAACAAGCACCTTTATTAGTAAGGTTGATTGTTTCCACTCATTGAACATTCTATCTACAAAAGAAGGTCAACGGGGATACTAAAGTAGCTCTTACTGACACCATCTACGAGAAGGTAAGGTCGTCTTTCTTTCCAGCCGGCATACGGTTTGCCTTAAAGACGGAGAAAGGGAGGAGGGGTTATCTATGTAATTACGGTCTTTGTTGGCCATTATCCCAGTCGAGCACTCTCTTTTCTTTGTCCAATTCCGTCTTACCAAAGAAGACTGACTTCTGACCAACCCGCGAAAGGAGCCACTTTTATGAATGATCATCTACCATTAGACAACACAAAAAAATTACCATTGGTAATACCCTTTAACATTATGAGAAGTGTTAGGCATCATCCAATACCATCATGAAAATTCAATTATCAAATATCTTCTTAACTGAACTTCAAACGTCATTATATCTTTAATACTCCACAAAATATGGTAAGACAGTGCCCATTATATCTTTAAATCACAAAGGAAAGAAAGGTAGACTACATTAGGGTCTTTATCTAGACAGAAGAGCAAAAGAAACTAGATTCTTTATAAAAAAAAAAAAGGGAAAATAGAAGAAAAGAGGGAGGCAGCAGGCAAACAGGAAGCAGGGAAACCAGCAACCTCTGCCCAATTCACCACCTCTTGGGGCAAGGCAACTGCTTCCGCAGCTGTGACTTATCAGGATCCTACATCCTGATTTAAGAAAAAAATAGACAAAGAAAAAAGGATTTAAAGAAACAAAAAAGAAATAGAGGAATATGAGAAAATGAGGATGAACCGATAACAGAGAAGAAAATTACCACTGAGTTGAGCCATTTCTATAATTTTTTTTAAATATATTTCTCTCACATTTCTCTGTTTTAAAATTGAGATAATGCTTACAGTTACAATTTTCATATATATCCTGTTGTCCAAAAAGATCAGAGGCAAATAACAGAAGAAATATAACGAGAAATGCAGAAAATAATAGTAGAGTAACAAGGAGTATAATTAGGAAATTCAAACCAATACTCCTCATATCTCCTCCACTGACACCTCAACTTTCTGATTAACACCTCAGCCAATGATGTGTCATGACTCAGTTCTGATGTGCCATGAAGGCATCCTTGTCTGGAAGGATGTTCATCAGCCAAGACAAGAACTCATCCCATTCTTGTTTGAAATTGAAATTTTCATTATTCAAAGAATTTTAAAACTAAAATAGTGAGTATTTGGTGAAACTTCACATATATAAACATCGACTGGAAGGATTCTACTACCCTTGTACATGTAGCCCAATTGATTCCAAAAGAACCAGTCATTCTCTACAATAAGAATTTTCTTCTCCATATGATTTTCAGACTGGTCATTTCTTTATGAGCTTTTCACAAACACCTTGTATACACCATTTTAGGATGGAATATCAGCAATCTGGATGATGCTCTTAGCTTGTGTAACATCCATAACCATTTCCCCTTCCACTTTAGTATCTTCCCATTCCCAAGTTCATCACAAAAACATGTAAATATCTTTCTCCAAGCCCATTACTCCAATATTTTCCCATTCTTATATGATCTTTATTATACCTGAAGTTTACAACTTTTGCCCATTACTACTTTTGCCATTATGATGATTGGGGTGCATCTTCATTTTTCAAAGCTTCCAGATGCCTGCACAAAGTAATTCCTTATCTCCTCTATCATAGTTTTTATGGAGTTCTGAACAAAATGTTTTTAAGCTCCAAAGAGCTGGAGTTATTTAAATGTTTCAAGATGGGTGAGTAGAAGCATATGGAGGAGGTAATTTGCTTTTTTTTTTGTCGATGACACTTTTGTATTTTGTGAATCTGATGAGAGCGACATATTTAATCTCATATGCATTTTGCTGAGTTTCTAAATGGTTTCTAGACTCAAATATTAATTTAGTTAAGTCTAAATTGGGTGGTAGTGAGCTTGGTGAGGGACAAGTTGTGGGCATGGGTGGGCTTATGTAAAAAAAACATATTTTTTTCTAATTCCTTTATCCATCTTTTAGGTTATTTGGAATAAGAGGAATACAAGAGCTTTTGATGAAATTGAGAAAGAGATGATTAATATTAGGGATAGATGGTTTTATATTTTTGGTTTTATGATTTTGAGTCAAGACATTAATAGGTTGTAAGATTTTGGAAATGTCACTGATCATTTAATTGACTTGTAAGTACCATGTATATGGGTGGTACCACCCCTTGATACCATTGTTGATATTAATACCACATTATACTTTTATTTTAGAAAAAAAAAATTAATTTATACTCTAAGTTTGTCCATTCTTACTACAAATTTCTGATTAAGGGGCTGCAGATGGGTCTCAGAACTCTCCATGGAAACAAATCTGGAAGACAATGGTTCCCCCACGAGTTGCTTTTTTTGCGTGGGAGGCTTGTTGGGAGAAAATTCTCACTACGGACAAACTTAGAGCAAGAGGACTAATCATTGTGAATGGTTGTCTTCTATGTCTAAACGCAGAGGAATCATGTAATCATCTTCTATTGTGGTGTCATATCGCATATAGGCTTTGGTGCATGATTTATAGTTTGTTGGGGATTGAATGGGTGGTCGCGGGTTCAGTTCGTGATGAGATTTGGGCGTAGGATGGATTGAGCTGTAAGAGATGTATTGCTAATCAAATTCCATTGATTGTTTTTTGGTTCATTTGGAAAGAGAGAAATACTAGACCTTTTGTTGGAAAAGAATGTAATTTGAAAATGCTAAAGGATAGATGGATTTACTATTTTTGTTCTATTTTATTAGGTCATAACATTAATAATGATAATTTTGTAAATGTCATTGACACTTTAACTCATTTGTAAATCTTTTGTACATATTAATATACATATTATGCTTTTTATTTCCCAAAAAAAAATTAACTTAGCCAAGTCTGAGCTGGTGAGACAAGGTGATGAGAGCAATACTTCTTGTTTGGCAAAAGTCATTGGGTGTAAGTGTGGAGTTACCGGTTGAATATTTGGGGTTACCATTGGGGGATAACTATAAAAATGTGATGACGTCATATACTGTGGCGGGAAGGTCTAATAGAAAATTGACAGGATAGAAGAGGAACCTCCTATCTAAAAGGGGAAGACTTAAACTCATTAAAAGTATAATGGCCAATATCTCCATTTATTGCATGGCACTTTTGACAATCCCGACAAGCGTAGCCAAGAAACCGGAATCAATTCAATATAAAGCCCTACAGGGCGACTTAGCATATAGGAAGAAGTATCACCTAGTGGCACGGAAAGAGGTTAAAAAGCCTATATGTCAGGAAGGGTTTGGGGTTGAGATCTTTAGTGGAGATGAATTTAGCCTTAGAGGGAAAGTGGCTCTACAGATTCATAAATGAAAATAGTACCCCATAGTAGAGGGTGGTTGAGGTAAAATTCAGAATCATGAATAGAGGGTAGTACACTAGATTATCAACTAGACCGCATGGGAAAGGAATGAGGAAAAAAATATGCATAGGTAGGAACAAATTCCAAGATTGTATTTGGTGGAGGTTTGGCATGAGAGACAAAATTAGTTTCTGACATGACACTTGACTAAAAAGGGGTCACTAAGAGAGCAGTTTTCTCATACTCATAATATTACACAACACAAGAACATCTCGTACACAAGTCATATAGAGACAATCGGGAGAAGGGAAATGACATGTGAAAGTTATGAGAAACCATAATGATTGAGAAGTTAATGATTATGAGGCTCTCCCCATACACTCTCTATTGCTACAATCAACAACAACGAGAGCAAGAACCAACCTATTTGGAGACTCAATGCTATAAAGTCTTTCTCGATTAGGTCCTTCTATAACTATCTAACTAAAAATAAGGTCACAGACACTAGTTTTCCTTTTCGGGAAATATGAAAGATTAATGTTCCATCCAGAGTTGTTAGCTTTGCGTGAAAAGCAGGTCTTGGCTGTATCCTGACTATTGACAAGCTAATGAGAAGAGAAAAAATGTTGGTGAATGACATTTCTTATGTGAGAGGGAGGTGGAGTCCTATAATCATATTCTCTTTTGGTGCCCCTTTGTGTATAAATTATGGACATTGATTTATAGGTTACTGGGATCAGTTGGCTGGTTCGGTGAGGGAAAAGATTTGGGCTTGGAAGGGTATTAGTGGAGTAAAGAAACATTGAATCTCATCCTCTTGCTATTTTTTGGGTAGTATGAAAAGAGAGGAACCTGAGAGCTTTTGAGGGGTTGGAAGACGCCTTGGATAGAGTTAGAGATAAATAATTATAGACCATGAGTTTTTTTATCATGGATAATCTTCTTCACACAATTGAAGATTTTGAAGATTTTATTAATATTTTAATTAATATGTAAATACTTTTTGTAAATGGGTTGGCGCCCCTTTGGTGCTCGTGAATGAATGAATCACACCACACTTTTTATCTCGAAAAAAGTATATATATTGTTACCTATTTATGCATAGGTTGGGTATTTTGACAATATGGTGAACATTAACATATAGATAAAAATTCATAAATTATATCAATAAAATATATAATATTACCCTATGAGAACATGTTAGTGCAAATACAATCATGCATATGTTAGCTAGTTATGCACGGGCATCAGAACGTGTAAGGCATAAGTATGACTCTTTTTAGTGTATGGGCTACAAATATATAAGTTTGAGACTCATTACATTATGTATTTGAACAGAGGTGGGTTTCTATATGTATTTGAGGAGGATGCATGTTGTCTATGTAGAGACACAGGTTACACATTGCTGGATGACATCGGTGGATGTAGTTTGTTTCGCTCACAAAAGGCTATAATTCTTTCTTGCATGCTACCATTCAAAACTTTCTTCATAGGTAAGTTCCTACAGTAACTTAATTCTACTTGCAATTCACATTATTAATTGAGCATATTCGAAAATATTTTTGAGGATAAGATCATTGCATCATTGCATCTTATTGTATACTCTTACTTGAAGTGCTAAAAATTACTAGCAGTACAGCGTATGGATTCTCTTCCTGTATAACCTTAATAGTTTGGATTGAATTATGTAATGACCATATCAGATTTCTCAGGTTTGCAGAGGACATTGGTGGCACTACAGGTACCCATTCCCTGGTGCCGGTCATGGCCCTCAATTCTGGCCTTAACATCATTAATCTATAGCCCCTGTTTGTCACTGGTTCCTGAATTTCATTGACCACATAACCCCCAGTTCAGGCCCACGTTTTCACAGGTTCCTGAATTCCATCGACCACATCCAACTCCAAAATTAATATGTCAATTCCCATTTTTTAAGATTCTATAGAAAAGGCCTGGATGATGAATTCAATATATTATACGACAAAAACTATAGTCTGTGACAACAACTTTGGTGGTAAAATCACCAGCTAACTACCTATAAAGCCAAAATACTATATATTAGGATTTAATGATAGCTAACTTCAGTCCTGCAAGTTACTATGCTTCTCATGCTGGTTGAAAAAGCAATTGGATTCAAATATGTTCATTTACAAATATTGAGCAGGCCCACGCCATGCAAAATCTAAAGCACGCAAGCATCATGCTGCAACTTCACCAGACTAAAATTAATAGTCTATACAATTAATTACCAGACCATAACTGGTCACAGTTTAAGCAATTAACAGGTTTGAAATGACATAAGAGTCATTCCGACTTTCTAAAGCCATGAGTTTTGATTTACCTGGCCAATCCTGTGAGCACGATCCTCAGCTTGTATCAGATCACCGGGTGTCCATGACAACTCGGCAAAAATTACAGTGCTTGCTGCTGTTAGAGTTAAGCCAACACCTCCAGTTTTGATCGATAGCTGGATATCATCACCCAAAAGGACAAAGCTCAGAAATCCTGTTACAACTTACAATACAATGTTGCGAACTTTAAAACTAGAATGGAGTATCAAGCTAAGGAAACAAGAACCATATACAGGGATAGATTAAGTAAGCAGTCTCACCACTGCTGCCTTGATAACATCCTTTTCCTGAAAGTCATTAACCAAAGCTTGTCTTGAGGATTGCGCAGTACCACCATCAATCCGAATGCAGCCCACTTTTCTCCTCTGCAAATATCCTACCCTTAGAAGTCAACTTGAGAAAGGTTTTAACAAAGATCAGTTGGTCTTACAAGCAGAAACTGGTGTATTGCATCAAGCATGGGCTGATGATGAGCAAATATGAGAAACTTGCAGCCAGCCTGCAAGAAGAAGGTTCAAACACACCAAAAGAGAGTATGCGAAAAAAAATATGCAGTTCACATATAAAACTAATACATAATGAATTAGCCTCCTTTGCATACTCAAAAGTCATTATATTTAAACAATAGCTATGTCATTCCTGAAGTAATTTTTTTTTTTTTTAAATATATTCCTAAAGTAGAGTAATATCATGGATCAGGAACCCATGAGTATCTAATCACTTCTCAAATAAATAATTGATCATGCATCCATGAATCCTAACACATAGAGCACCTGAGTGTATACCTGCACATATAGATGTTGAAGTCTATCACCAGACTCTGAATCTCGATTTCTACTATGGCAGTGCCTTTCACACATTAATACATGCAGAAATGGATGGAGAGCAGAAAGAACTCAAGATTACTAGATGAAAGAAAATTACCTCAATTACAGTTCCCAGATAATCTAGAACCGCTGGGATCTTGGCTGCAGCAGAATCAATATAGATCTGAAATAAGATTATTTTAGAAATAAAAAGAAAAGGATGAGAAAGAGAAGCTGATTTGGATCAGTGGCAGAATAATATAGCTCACCAATTCAAAGCCTGCAAAAAGAAATGGAGCTAAAGCACATAATATCAGATTTTCCCCAAAAGAAAAAGACACACATCCAATACAGAACACAAGAACAATTATTGCATGTAGTAAGGAGCCTTTAAGGATGTTTCCCAGTAATTTCTACCTTATTAATAAGATTCTTCTCAGAAAATTTGAGAGATTCAACCTCTTCTTCTGATTTGCAGACCTTAATCTTTGCTTTGATTACCTCCAACTACAAAGCAGAACTGCTTTTCGTTACACGTACATAAACATTTTCTATCAAAGAAGAAATTCTATTGAGGGAGAAAATAATCACAGATAGAGAGAATAAGACATCCTCCTCAAAAAATAAATCCAAATGCAAACACAGAGTCAAAAAAATTAATCGAAAAAACAAAAATGTGGGCCTCTTAGAGCCAAAAATAATGGTCCCCCAATTACGTGACATAATGAGAATCAACAATATTTTAATGCTTTGATAATAGGAAATGTAAAGATAATGTTGGAAGAGAAAGAAAGCGACAGAAACTGAGAGACTAAAGCAAATACGATAATATAATTATTGTCTGTAAATTTAAAATTTCTTCAGCCAGTCATTTTCCTTAGCCATTAGACCAGGACAGATTCCCCAGAAGTAGTAGATTGTGATAGCAGCTATATAATCATATCCAGTACATAGTAAGAGATAAGATTATTATCAGGCAACATATAATTAAAGTGATCCATCTCAAAAAAATAATAATAATAAATGAAAGTGATTAATGATAATAAGTGAAGTTTCTTATGAGGGAGATTCTCACTTACAGAAAGCAAGATGATTGATATTCCCATTTATTATATGTCCCTATTGATAGTAAATATGATTGTAACCAAGATATTGGAAACAATTCAATATAGATTCTTATAGATGACAGGAATAAGCATCATCTTATGGCATGGGATGAGCTTAAAAAGCTTATGTATCAAGGAGGGTTGAGCTTGAGATCTTTACTTGGGGTTAATATGAAAATTTAGGGGAAATAGCTTTGGAGATTTATGAATGAAAATGGTAGTCTCTGGTAGAGGGTGATCAAAGCAATGTTTGGGACCATCGTTAGAGGTCGGTAGACCAGGCTCTCATCTAGATTGTTAATAGTAAGATTACGCAAAGATTGACCTTCAGAATCACAGGACATGCAAATGTCTAATCTAAAAAGGCCATTTGGTGGCACTGCTCTTTAGTTCCATTTTTGTGTCATATTAACGTCGTCCTTTCTTTCTTTCTTTTTTTTGAAAGAATGCATATTAAGGTCCTTGACTTCCAAGATTACTTTTCATATATTATATATAGATATCACCTGTTAATTAGAGAAGGTACAATAATTTTAAACTTAACAATTGCAAGATAAACAGGAAAAAGTCCATCTGTAATGGACAATTCTCAGTCGAGCACCATAACACAATTAGTTATATTTGTAGCTGCAGCAACAGAATCCCTTAAAATCAGCAATAAATTTTGCAAAGAGACATCTAAATTTAATCCCATTACGATTACCATAGCCAGCTGTAACTTGTGATTCTATGCAGGCAACCAGCGATTCTGCTCTCAGCAGCACAAAAGGTTTTTGATGTTTGACTAGAGGAATTTGGAAAAGAAAAAAATAATAATTTCACAAGAGTTAACTTACCTCACAAAATAAAGCATTGATTTGTTTCATATCTTTTTCAGCCAACTCTAGGAAGACCTGAGAATTAGTTTGGCACGGATAACAAAATGTTACACAAATCATATAACTATACTCCATTCCTAAACTTGACTGATACATGCACAATAAAAAGAAACACCACAAATTGAATGATCAAATTCTTTTTCTATTTTACACATTTCTGCCATAAAATTAATTTGTTGATTACATGCACGACTTTGAATGCGAAGATACCATGTTTGAGTACAAAACAGCCACATTAGAATTTATCCCATAGGAAATTTTTCAGACAATAGATAATTAAAAGTCAATGCAGTTGTTGAAAGCTGATACTGCAGACTCCAGTAAACTTTCCCGGATTGATTTTAGTATCATTTTCTTTACAGATACAAACTGACGGTTCTGACAATGCTGTTAACTCTAAAATATCATATTTTAACTAAATCAAACTGCTATTACTTTACCACGGAAAGACCAAGATATTGCAAACCTTAAACCAAACAAAGTCATAAACCTTCTTATTTGGAAAAATGGCAGGAGCAAAACAAAACCCAGTATCAACCTGTTGCCTTCGCTTCACAGGAAGTTCAGAAAGGACATCCTTTTTAAGTCTGCGGATCATGAGAGTTGCCTTCATTAGATTGTGCAGTTCTTCATGGTTACTTGCACCTTGATAAATTCCAAAAGCTCCCTGGATGGTTCACATAAGAAACAACCAATTTATTCAATACCTACGGCCAGTGGATAAATAAGTCACACATTCTAGACCCACAAAGAATTGTCACTTACCCCTTTGCAGTACCGATTACCATATTCATGAACATTCTTATACACATCTGGATACAACGCTTCCAACTGTCAAGAGGACACAATTTCCAACAAACACATTATCCTGTTACTTCCATATATTCTTGGAGTTGAAAGTTGCAAATCTCAAACTAACATATGATGATACCTGCTTAAAAAGCTCAATTGGTCTAGATAAAGCAGGAGTTCCACTAAGTAAAATTGCATACTGAGCTTTCTGAAATTATTGACGCTGAATGTGAGAGAGGGAAGAGAGAGAGAAAGAGAGGAGGTTGGGGAGGAAGGGAGAGCGAGATGCAACTGTTCCAGTTCCTTCGCACAAAATAAGCAGACTAGTTATGTGCGATAGGTAATTTGAACAAGTATTTTTCTTTATAAAATTCCTAGATTGTTCTACTTGATTAGCCCAAATACACTAGTTTTATAGCATGACCTTGTAAAGTCACCTTAATGATCAAATCTACACACTTTCTAATGAAGGTAAAGGTGAATAGTCTTCAGCATCAACCTTGAGGATTCAGTTTTGCGGGTAAATAAATGTAAGAAGAAAACAATAACAAGCATATGATTATTATTTAACAAGGAAGAAAGACCTTTATGACAGGAATGGAAGCATTTGTCCTCTTTGCCTGAGCATTTTTCAAAAAGTGTGACTCATCAGCAATTACAACCTGCAAAAAAACAAGGCCATAAGCATTAAATAACCTATCACAGATGGACAAAATAGAAAGATTCACTATCTCCATTAAAAAATTCTAGTCACACGAATAATTACATGTAAGATTTAGGAGAACATATTGATATCCTTAATGATTTGTAAATAATTTTTGCACATGGGTTTGCACCCTCTTGGCGCTTATATTTAATGATACATATTATACTTATTATTTCAAAAAAAGTTTCTAGTCACATGTAAGGACACTACAAACAAGGCCCAGCCTCAGTAGAAGGTATTATCATCTAAGAGTGTTGAGAATAAAATGCCAACACGTCTGGTCCGAGATTTTTGGCTAATTCTTTAATTTTCTGTTTCTAAATATTATCATTTAAAAATGAAAACTACTTCACTTTAAAAGTACATAAAGGAGAAACTATCAGAGTAGAGGGAAAAAAGGTAGAATACCATGATTCCGAGTTACCATGTCTCACATCCATGTCTTTGTGAATGGACACTTTTGTGCTTGTTCAGTCAGTACCTTACTTGTGTGAAGATAGAGCTCAGATGGTGGATGTATGATGTCACGAGGTGGCTTTTCTAGTGGTGTCATCTAGCTATATGTTATGGTCGCTAATTAACAGATCCAAATCAAGCTTGTGTTGGAAGGAAAGCTTTTTAGTGAACTAAGGACATCGAAATGCCTTGTCATGTGGTTGGGTTCAAGATTGCAAATTTGGGTGTCAAGCACATGGGAGCACTGCTTGACTGTCAAACACAGTAACTGGGTGGTGTCAAACACGATATTTGAGTAACTGATTTTCGTTTGGCTCAGATACATAGGGAGATGAAGAACAAACTAGGGTAATTTGTCTACTAAGAATGTAGGGCCACCGAGGATTTCTAGATATTACACCTAAGAAGGGATTCCAAACTATAACAGTTGAAGTTTCCATTGCACTGCAGAACTAGAAAGATTGAGAAAATTCTCAAGAACCCTATAACTGAACTTCACAAAAGCCACAAATACTTATATTATTAGGAAGTACCACTTCCAAGGAAAACATAAAGTAAAATCCTAAAATTCGTACATAAACAAAACTCTAATACAGATAAAAGCAAATTCCCAATAGCTAAATAAAATCAAACTCTATCAGTAAAAAGTCCTTATCTTAGCCATATTATTAAAATAATTCATAGATTATCTAAAAAAAAGTCCTAATGTAACTAAAATTCATTTGTCAAAATCCATGCTGCATCTTTCTCTTTAGGTCTGAGAAAACTCAACCTCAGGTTTTGAAGTGTTGAAATATCCAAAAACAAAATCTTGGGAGTTTTCCAAAAGAAACTCACCATGAAGTTCATACTTAGTCATCCTTACTAAAAGCAAAAGAAAGTTTTCTTATAAAAAAGGAAGTTTTATTAAGAAAGAGGGATTCTTGTTATGTGGGATAATGAAAAAATTTTATGCAGGGGGTTGGAGAGGGGGAGGGTGTCTCTGTCTTGCTTGTTGGAGAATTTTAGGGATGGTAAGAGGTGGGTTTTTTCTGGCATCTATTGCAGAGGGAACAGAGATTAAAGGGAGTGTCTTTGGGATGAACTTGTTGAGGTGTAATATGAAGTGGGGTGAGAGATGGGTGATTGGGGACAATTTTAATATAGTGGATAAGTTGGAGCTTGTGGATATTCCACTTGGGGGAGGAAGGTGGACTTGGTCCAATGAAAGAGAAAACCCTTCATGGTCAAGAATTGACCGGTTCTTAATTTCTAATAGTTTGTTAATGCAGCTTGCAAGTTTGATGCAAAAAAATTTAAGCCGGCCAATTTTTGATCATTTCCCAATTTGCCTTGTCCCTGAAGGCATTATTTGGAGGTCTATCCCATTTAGATTGAATAATAAGTGGCTGAAGTTGGAGGGGTTTAGGAATTCAGTGGAAAAATGTTAGCAGGAAACGATTGTGGTGGGTATGGTTAGTTGTGTTTTTGCTTCTAAGTTGAAGACTCTAAAAATTAAAATTAAGAAGTGGGAGAGGGAGGAGGGTAGATTAGAGAGATCATTGAATGAGAATTTTATAGAGATGGCCGACCAAGATAATAAGGAGATGGAGCATGGAAGGGAGAGGAGGGATGATCTAAGGAAGGAAGTCGCATCGGTCATGAACTTGGAGGCAATTTCTTGGAGACAAAAAGATAGGGAGAAATGGCTTATAGAAGGGGATAGAAACACAAGGTACTTTCATTGTACGACCAACTTTCACAGAAAAAATAACTATGTGGAAGAACTTTGTTGTAATGGGGAAATAGTCAAAGGCAATGAAGACATGCGGAAGAGGATAAGGCTGTTTTTCCAGCAATTGTATACTGAAGATGTATTAAGTAGGCCTAAACTTGATAATCTTCACTTTACGGTGTTGTGTGCCCAAAGCAGAGATGGGTTGGAGGCTTAGTTCACTGAAGAAGAAATTAAAGGGTGCCTTGATGAATGTAATGGAGAGAAGGTGCCGGGGCCGGATGCTTTCAACATGAAGTTCTGCCAAGTTTCTGGGATGTGATCAAGAAATATGTGCTAGCTGTTTTTTAATGAGTTTCATAGGACGGGGTCTTTTATCAATTCTATCAATTTGACTTTCTTGATTCTTCTTCCAAAAGTGGTGGGTGCAAAAGATATAAAAGATTTTATACCAACCAGTCTAGTGGAGAACATTTATAAATTGATTTCTAAAATTTTAACGAAGAGACTATCAAAAGTGTTCGGTGAGGTGATTAGTGAAATTCAAAATGCATTTGTTGAAGGTAGACAAATCCTTGATGATGTGATGATTGCTAATGAAGGTGTGGATGAATTGGTAGGACAAAAAAAAGGATTTGTTGACTATCATATTTTATTATTTAATTATTTTAGTTTATTATTTAATATTATGTAATTAGAACTCTATGAGAATAATAATCTTATATAATTAGAATTCTCGTAAAATAAGAATTTCTTTATCAATAGAATAAGAATTGTATAAATACCGTAAGTGTAACAACATAAAATGAGAAATATAATTTTTTTTTTTAAATCAACATGAAGTTCTGCCAAGTTTTCTGGGATGTGATCAAGAAATATGTGCTAGCTGTTTTTTAATGAGTTTCACAGGACGAGGTCTTTTATCAATTCTATCAATTTGACTTTCTTGATTCTTCTTCCAAAAGTGGTGGGTGCAAAAGATATAAAAGATTTTATACCAACCAGTCTAGTGGAGAACATTTATAAATTGATTTCTAAAGTTTTAACAAAGAGACTATCAAAAATGTTCGGTGAGGTGATTAGCGAAATTCAAAGTGCATTTGTTGAAGGTAGACAAATCCTTGATGATGTGATGATTGCTAATGAAGGTGTGGATGAATTGGTAGGACAAAAAAAAAGGATTTGTTGACTATCATATTTTATTATTTAATTATTTTAGTTTATTATTTGACATTATGTAATTAGAACTCTATGAGAATAATAATCTTATATAATTAGAATTCTCGTAAAATAAAAATTTCTTTATCAATAGAATAAGAATTCTATAACTACTGTAAGTGTAACAACATAAAATGAGAAATATAATTTTTTTTTTTTAAATCAAGATGATATCAAAGCCAAATAAAACTATTTTAGAATTCTAATTTCATGATTTACTTCAACACCTCCCTAGAAAGCCAAATATAAGAGAGAGCAAAGAAAAACAAATCACAGATCCTTCCTTGCATTCCTGACCGCCACCTAAAGAAGAAACAGTGAAACAACGGCAGGCGGCATATCAGACCAGATCTTTGCGCAAGTGGCGACCAACTGGTGAGGCAGAGTGCGCGAACAGCCTGGCCAAGCATAACTGGATCGGTGAACAACCCAAGTGTGTCGATCAGCAGCCGCGATTTAAAGAACACGTGGTGGTTGTCCCCAATCTATGCGAACAGAGGTTCAAAGAAGAGAAATTAAAGATGGATCTTAAAGTCCGTCCTTATTTGCGCCTAAAACCAGAAAGCCGGAGAGAGAACACACAACAGAGCTTGTCGAAGAAGAAGAAGATGCACGACGGCCCGTTTTGCACAAAGACATTTTCCAATGTCCCTCGGCGCAATCTCACCAGATCCATGCTGGATCTGAAACTACCAGCATTTTCTGTGGTGATTATCGGTGAAATCACGGCAGTGTGTGGTGGTCGGCGGAGGCACGTGGCAATTCTGGCAGAGGCGCATGGGGGCACGTGGTGGTCCATTGGCAAGGCGTCCAACGGTGCATGGCAGTTCCGGTGGAGGTGCGTGGCGTCGCGAGAGAGCTCATGTGGTACTTCAGTGGAGCTCAAACCGTTTTAGAGCCAAGCTCGAGCCGCTTTGAGCTGGGCCAAGCTATTTTCAACTGAGTCGAGCCGTTTTGAGCCAAGGTGAGTCATTTTGAGCTGAGCCAAGTCGAACTGCTGTCTGACAAATCTGGTTTCAATTTACAATACTTTTTTGGCATCCTTTGGTACTGATTAGAAAGATAGCTCTTCAAAATTTGGTCTACAAATTGGTCATGTGTGATATCCCAACACCAACTTGAGATGGGATGTTAATTACTATATTTTATTATTTAATTATTTTAATTTATTATTTAATATTATGCAATCAGAACTCTATGAGAATAATAATATTACATAAGTATAATTCTCGTAAAATAAAAATTTCCTCATTAGTAGATTAAAAATTTTATAAATACTAAATGTAACAACATAAAAAGTGAGAAATAAAATTATTGTTTTCTTTTTCCAAAATCAACAGCGCCTCATGTGTAAAATCGATATAAAGAATGTGTATGACCATATGTGCTGGGATTTTGTGAATTATATACTTATGAGGATGGGTTTTGGGTGTAAATGGCAAAAATGGATCATGAAACGTAATTCCACTACCTCTTTTGCAGTCATAGTTAATAGGTTCCCATCAATATTTTTTAAGCCTTTTAGAGGACTTCGGCAAGTGGATCATTTGTCACCATTACTTTCCACTACTATTATGTAGGTTTTTAATAGATTGATGGAGAGGGCAGAGGAGCTGAATTTGTTGAAGGGTGTGGATGTGGGGAGGGGGGAGGAAAGAGTGAGGATTTCTCATCTATTTTTTTGCGAACCGACTGTCAATGCTATGTTTCACTTGAGGTGCATCTTTCTTTGTTTTCAAATGGTATCCGATCTTAAAATAAACATGAGGAAGATGGAATTGGTTAGAATTGGTGATGAAGGGAATGAGGAGAGTTTGGCTTTAGTGTTGGGATGTAAGACAACTACACTTCCAATTAAATATCTTGGCTTACCTCTTGAGGCAAATTTAAAAATATGAAAACTTTGGAATCTATTGTGAAGATGTTTGAAAAAACGCTGGCGGGATGAAAAAGAAATTTTCTATCTGAAGGGGATAGACTTACCTTGATAAACAGCACATTGGCAAATTTACCTATATACTACCTTTCTATTTTAACCATTCTGGCCAACATTGCGACAAAACTTGAACACATCCAATGTAGGTTCCTTTGGGAGGATGAGGAGGGAAATAGAAAATATCATTTGCTTAGGTGCAAGGAGGTGAAGAAACTAGTTCAGGAAGGGGGTCTCAGTTTAAGGTCAATTAGGGAGTTAAACCGAGCCTTTAATGGGAAATGGTTGTGGAGATCTCTTGTGGAAGAGGGGAGGTTATGGAGGAAGGTGGTGCAGGCGAGATGGGTTGATTGAGAGAAGGAGAGAGGTAGGAGGGGAAGATTCAAACCGCACGAGATGAGCCTCTGGAAGAAAATTAGGGATTGCAGCTATTTTTTCAAGATCTGTGTAGGTTGGCAATTAGGTAATGGTGAGGATGTCAGTTTTTGGCAGGATGAATGGATGGGAAATTTTAAACTAAAAGATCGCTTTACAAAAATCTTTGACATCGCCTGTGATAAGGAGGCTAAAGTGAAGGAGATGTATAAGAATGTGGGGGAGAGGAAGGCCTTAAATGTGAAAGTGAAAAGAAACTTACAGGATTGGGAAATAAATGATTATAGCAATATGTTACTGTGTTTGGACAGCATTAAGCTGAATGATGACAGAGATAAAAGGGTTTGGAAGCTTGATGAAAAGAGAGGTTTTTCAGTGAAATCGTTGTACAAGTTTCCTTGTATAAGTGATAACAGTTGCAGCAAAACAACAACTTTCAAGCAAATATGGAAGACGAGCCCCTTCAAGAATGGATTTTTTTACTTGGAATGCTGCAAATGAATGTATTTTGATTATTGACATGCTAAAAAGGAAAGATAACACTATGGTTAATAGATGCTATCTCTGCAAATCTGATGAGCAAACATGCAACCACTTATTGTTGACTTGTCTGACAACATACAACATTTGGACCACTATTTTGGGCTTATTGGGATTAAATTGGATTATGGCTAATAATGTGAGTAGAGAGTTGTGGGCGTGGGCGGATTTTTGTAAAAAGAAAGGCATTTGTTCCTTATTCCACTAATTATTTTTTGGGTTGTGTAGAAGGAAAGAAACGCGAGAGCATTTGAGGATATAAAAACTACTTTTACAAACATTAGAGATAAATACTTTCACACTTTTAACTCTATTTTATTAGGGCATAGCATCAAAGATTGAGATGATTTTGGTATTATCATGGACCACTTGTTTGACTTATAACTATGTTTTGTATACGGGCGGTACGTCACTGGTACCTTTATGCATAATAATACCTTTCTTATATTTCAAAAAAAAATAAGAAAGAGGAGACCAGTACAATAAAACAGAGGATAAATTATCCAGCTGAAAACCAAGTAAACCGAAACAAAAACAAAGAAAATAAAACAATAACAGCCAACAACTCGTCACATAATCAAGGCATTCCAACTCCTGTGCAGAACAGCAAGGGGATCTCCGAGTAAATCCCATGAGCTTTAGCCCAAAGAGAAGCCAAGAAGATTATCTTCTCCCAAACGAAGTAATTCTTTCTTGTTTCATCATTGTGGAATTTAATATGTGACTGAAGTTGGTTAGATTTATATCAAATACATAATTATGACTAACTTGTACGTATCAAATAATTAACATATAGAAATTAAATGCCATTAGAATAGAGTTGAAGTAAACACAAAGTTTGTTTTTAACAGCTAAAAAATATAAATTAACTAGATATACTTACCTTAAAATCCAATGCCATAAGCATATGTTGTAATTTAGGGACCACATCATAGGAGATGATGTTGAAGAGACCATCAAGATGAATGGTACCCTTGGTATTCGAAGATAATATTCTGAACCCTCCTCTATTTGATCCACCCGATTGGGGTAAAACAACCTGGAACATTGATTTGTTTTGTTTAAGGTATAAAATGTTCTTTCTACAACTACAAATATAAGTATTATTGCTTTTAAAAACTTTGAGAGATAATGATTACATACAACTATGTCAGATGGAGGAATCTCCAGCCATTCTTGAATCATCTATAAAGAAAATAAATAATGTAAATGTATAACAAGAAAAAGAAGTCTTCCTAGACTCAAATATGAAAATGATAGAACACTTACTGAAGCCCAATGCAGACGTAAAGAAGAAGGTGTTAGTATAAGAACAGGCCAAGATTCACGAATGCATGTGGTCACAACAATTGCCTGTAAAAAGTATGAAGAATTCAATATCCATCCTTATAAAAGCACAAACTACTAGCCCTTCGCAAAACCATGACTATATTATTTTGCACAATTTTACGAAAATTTTAAAAAAATTTCCTTTCCACAAGGAACCCCATTCGAGAAATTAAATCCAATAAGCATAAGTAGCTTCAAATAAATAAGCAATACTATTTATCTATGTGTGAGGTTCATAGAAACTTGTTGAACATTTTTTAAAAAAATAAAAAGTATAGAAAGACGGTAAATGTGGACCAAAGAAAAATTAAATTTATATTCACGTCTAATGTGGCAAAGTCTCACCAAACCCAAATGATATATTATTTTATCAAGTTTGTCTTGTAAAAGGCTTCTCACTTGGGAGAGAAGATACTCTCCTTATAAATAAGGATATTCCCTCAACTTTAACATATGTGACATACAATAAAAAACCCCTTATGCATCGAAAATTTCCTTCGCCAAAGATTAAAAAGTTACCATTCTATTTAGCTAATAGTTTGATATGGATGATAGTTTTTCATAAAATTACTATGAAATCTATAGGAACTTATTTGAACAAGAGAAAGCTTTAAGATGCATTTTTTTAGCAAGTATACATTAGGCAAAGCAACTGTTCACATTATATCAATACACACTCAGCCATAAATTATATATTTACACACATTATAAGATGTCACAGAATCAAAAAGAAGAAATGAAATATATAGCAAGACAACCTAAAATCTATGATTGAAAAGATCAAGTTCTTAATAATATGCATCTTAGCACATAAGTAACTAGAAGAGCATCAGATTGACAAACACTTGCTTGCAAAGTCTTTCCAAGTCCCATTTCATCTGCCAAGAGCACACGCCCCCCATGCTGCAGCACAAACCTACGAAATAAGAAATAAACAAGATATGCAAAATATTATTTGTCAATAAGACAATAATATGAACTACAAGCAGCCAACAGATTAAAGAAGCTTTATAACTTCAGTACCAAGAATGGTAAGTTTTGCAAAATTGAAAGTTATGTCATGACAAACAAATGAGTAAATATGGGAAACTCAAAAAAGTTACCTTACACCATCTCGCTGAAACGGCAGAAGCTTTAACTCAATATTACTAGGTATATTGTCATACCGCTCTAATTAAAGAAGGGGTATAAAGGGTTCAGAAGATGCAAAAGATGAAACTGCTAATGAAATTCATTTTAAATGAAACATTCAAACACCTAAATTGTAAAATTCATTTATCAAAACTTGCCTTGGAGATCTGGAAGCTTAGTAGCAGCAGTAATAGCCCGCTGCACCAGAGGATCTAAGTTCTCTACCTAAAAAACCACGACAGCTAGACTTTTAAATTACAAGCTAAATCTGTTTGGCACCTCAAACATGAAGAAGATTTGATTCAGAGAATAAAAAAAATGACCTATTCCCTTGAAACTCAAAAAGAGATAAGTAAAACCTACTGTTTAATAAAGATACGAGATGTAACATAGTACTAGAATATGATTGAATACAATACTTGAAGCAGCCAAAACAATAATATATTGTTGTAAGTTTGTCAATATAAAGATATGCAAAAAATAGAAAAAGTACAAGTTAGTACCTCTAACTT